CAAGTTTATGGTAAATTTCACCATTTCCCCGCTAAGCCCGATTCCCTTTTTCCTGGGTTTTCCTTTTTCCTGAGGTGTTGGGTGAAATTTTTAAAGTCAACGTTGTTGTTCTTTCCCACAAGCATGCTTTTTTTAACCCCTTTCATGATTAAAATATTAAAATATTGGGAAATTTTTTGTGGCGGAATTTTGTGCCCCCAACCCCTTTTTGGGGTTTTTTTTAATATTCAATGGTTTATATAATTAATTAATTACACCTGAAAAAATTGAAGGGAAGTGACCCGGTTCGGTTTAAATATTAAAAAATTAAAAATTAAATACAATTTTCAAAATTCCAATTTTAGTTTTAAAAAAATGAAATTTTTAACTTAAACAAAAAAATTCACCCAAAATAAAATACTCCAACATAACCCTTTGTAGAGAGAAAATTTTTTTTAAAATAAGAAATATTTCCGATGGCCCAGGGCCACTTATGGGGAAAAAATTAGGGCCCGGTATTCAAATTTCTCCCAAAGAAAAACAAACACAAAATATAAAATATTTTTTAAAAAATATAAAATATATTTTATAAAAAGACCAAAATAATTTAATATAACCTTTGCGTTTATTTGATTTTGGAAACGTTATATGCCAACCAACCCAAATTTAAATTTTTTGAATTGTAGTAAAAAAATATGAAAAAATAATATTTTATTTGTGTTTTTTTATAATTAAATTTTCGGTTTTTTAAAACCAATACAATTTTTCTTTATTTCATTTTTGAAACTTAAAAAATGGCAAAGTTTGAAAAAAAATTGTGAATTTTTTATTTATTTTGGGTTTAATGAATTTCCCCTTTTAATTAATAAAAAAATATTAAAGGGATTCACCCTAAAAGTGAATTTACCCGAACGGTCCCACAAAAAATTTGATATTCAATAAAGAGGGGAATTAGTTGTTTGTAAAAAAGGTTAAATTATAACCCTACCCCGAAACGAAATTTTTTAAAAATTTTTTCATTTTTTTATTTTTTCCTTTTAAAGGGGAAAAATTTTCCTCATACACTTTACTTGTCCAAAAACCCCAAAATACTTTTTGTTTTGACAAAAAAAATTTCGTGAATTTCAAAAGGGCAATTCTTAAAATTTTTTGGGTTTAAAGTTTTTTCAAGTTTGTGTAATTTTAAATTTAAATATTTTTACCTATTCAAACAATGGATTTTTTCCTTGAAAACATTTAAGTCCCAACCATAAAAAAGATAGATTACGTTTAAAATTAAAGAAATTCCTTTAGAAATTTTAAAAACTTTTTTCCCGAGGTTTTATTTTTTTTATTTTAACGGAAGGAGGTTAATCTAAATTTAAAATATTCTACATGCAAATTTTATAAAATAATATAATTTATAAAAAAAAATTTGGGCCTTTTTTTGCAACAGTGGAAAAAATTAGTAATCCTTTTGTTTTTAAAAGGGGCAAAAATATTTAAGAAAACTTAAAATTAAAACCCAACCCCAATTTCTAAAATTTTAAAAAAAATTGGGGCAATTTTATTTAATTTAAATAAATTTAAATTTTTTTTTTTTTTACCAAATTTTCGTTTAGGATAAAAAGGGGGCCCAACAAAAAATTCAACTTTTTTAAAAATATTGATGGTTTGGTCCTTTTTAAAATGGAACCAAAGGGGGCGAAAAACTTTTTTTTTAAAAAATTTTAAAATTTCCCTTTGATGGGCGCCTTTTAAAAAAAAAAAAATATTTAAAGGCCCGACCCAACCAAATGGATTTTTCCATTTTTAAAAACACAAACACACAAAAAAAAATATTAAAAAAAAAATTAAATAAAAAAATTAAATATAAAATTAAAAGAACAAAATTTTGTAAAATTTTTAAAGGGGGTTTTTCTATAATTGGGGAAAAGATTCATTTATATGAAACAAGCCCTAATATTTTATTTTTTTAATTAAAAAATGCGTCAAAAGTATAATAAATATTTATATTAGAGGAAAATTTTAACGTTTCACAATGGGAAAAACAGATGCACAAAATGTTTAACATTGGGAAACACGGCTCTTAAATTTTAAAGCAAATGAGGCGGAATTGCACCTAATGAAAGAAAAAAAAAAAAAATATAAAATTATTATTTTTTTTATGGCACGGAAATGTTGTTTCCTTAAAAACACCCCCCCCTCAACATTTTTTCGATAGGGGGTTTCTTGTTAGGAGATTGGGGAAATAAACCCCAAGGGGAAGAAAAACCTCAAGAAAGGGAGCTAACTAACGGTTAAAACCCATAAAACCATGGGAAAGGCAAAGAAAGCTATATTAAACTGGGGTTTTAAGTTATGAACAAAAGATAAAAGGCATGAAAAAAACCCCAAAGCTAAACAGTTTTTACAAAAGGAATAGGGAAAGGGACCGGGGCGTTATTTGGACACGCACAAAAAAAAATTTAAAAGAAATTCTTTTTGAACAAGCCAATTAGAAAGAAAACAAAAAGATTTTTAAAAAAATAAATCTTAGATATATTGAAAAGAAAAAAAGAGATTTTTAGGAAAGGAAAGGGAGAGAAAAGATAAATGAGTAGGATTGGAACAAAAAAAAATTAAGAATGGTTCGGGAACCCTGATATAGAAAAAAAATTTGAGTTAAAAAAAAAGTGTACAAAGGAGACGAAGGCAAATAAGGAAAAAAACAATTTTTTAAAAAAAGGGAAAAGTTAAAAAAATTTAAAAGAAGATTTAAATTTTAAAGGAAAAATAAATAATAAGAGAGGAAAAAGAAAAAGGAAAATTGATAAACCCAAGAAGGAAAAAAGGGCCCAAGGCCCACGCCAAAAAGGGAATAGAACTATTTAAAAATGGGGGAAATTTAAACAAAGCCAACAATTAATAAAAAAAAACGGAATAAAGGTTTAAAACAAAATAAATTTTTAAATTTTTTAATAAACAAGAATGAAAACGGAAAATGAAAAGCCTAAAGACCAAAATGCAAAGAAAATTGGGGAAACCCCCTTAAAAAAAAATTAGGACAGGGGAAAAAAAAGAAAAGGAAAAAAAAAAAATGGAAAATAAATAAGAAAGCTTTATTTCTTTTGCAAAACTTTAATCCCGTTTTTGTTTTTTTTATTTTGACAAAGAAAGAAAAAGAATGGTTTTCGTAAGTTCTTTGACCTTTGAAAATAAAGAAAACCCCAAAATAAAAATACAAAAATTACAAAAAAAAATATACAAATTTAAAGGTAAAAAAAAGTAAAAAAGAATTGCAGGAAAAAAAAGAATTCCAAAAGGGAAATTTGGAGTTTTCAAAGGTTTTTATTACAAATTAATTAGGGGAAAGTTAAAAAAAATTAGAGGAGGAAAAATAAAAAAATATAATAAAACGGACAAAAGCGTTTAAAGGGTATAAAAAAAAATAACGTTATATTAGGGAAGGAAAAATTTTCAATGAGGAAAATTGAAAAATAGAGATAGAAAAACCGGGAACAAATAGTATGAATTTTAAAAAAAGAGACGTCATTTAAAAAATTGAATAAAACGGCGAGGGAGAAAGGAATTGAAGGGTTTGGATGAAAAAAAAACAAAAAAGAGATGAATTGGATATTTTTTTTAGGAAAAAAGAGTTTTCAAAAAAAAAAAATAGGAAGATATGGTTTACAGAAGAAAAAGGGTTTTTGAAAACGTTTCAATAAATTTTTGGATAAAAGGAGGAAGAAATAACAAAAAAAAAGGAATTTTGGGGAAAAAGAGAGGGAGGGGAGAAGAAAAGGGGGAAAGAGGGGAAAAAGAAAAAGGAAAAAAAGGTGGAACAGAGAAGTATGAATAAAAATCTGGTAAAAGGGGAAAAAATTGGGGACAAAAAAAAAGGGAAAAAAAAAAGGAAAGATTGAAAGGGGAAAAGAAGAAAAATTTTCCTTAACGAATTAAAAAGAAATTTTTTTAAAATAAAAAAAAGGAAAGAAAAGAAAAGAAATAACAAGAAAAGGAAAAAAAAAAAAGAAAGAAAAGAAAGAAGAAGAAAAAAGAAAAGAAAAAAAGAAAGAAAAAAGGGAAAAAAAGAAAATAAGGAGGGAAAAAAGGGGGGAAAATTAAAAAAAAAAAAAAAAGGAAAAAAAGAATAAAGAAAAGAAAGAAAAAAAAAAAGAAAAAGGGGAAAAAAAAAAAAAAGAACAAAAGGAAAAAAAAAAGTAAAATAAAGAAAAATGAAAACAAAAAAGCAAAAAAAAAATAATATAAAAGGAAAATGAAAAAAAAAAAAGAATAAAAAGAAAAAAGAGGAAATAGGAAGAAAAAAAATAATAAAAAAAGAAAAAAAAAAAAAAAGATAAACAAGGGAGGGTTGAAACAAACCCCCCCAAATTTCTATGAACTTTAAAATTAATTGATGGCAAAACAACAAAAAATGTAAGAAAAAAAACGGGGGATTAAAGGTCTTTTATATAAAAATATTATTTATTTTTATTTTATTTATTAATATTATAATCTTGATATATTTTCACTTATATAGACGTGATCTCTTCCTGATATTAAACAAAATCCATATTCGGCTTTAAAAATTTCTTTCTTTCTTTTTCAGATTCAAAGTCTTTTACTATTCCTCTTGCCTCACGTCGTCCCTTTCCTAATATTTCTCTGCCAGCATTTCCTTCCCCAGTAATTCGCTATTCTTTGTTGATTCCCTTCTTTTTTTAACATTCGTTCACACTGCGAAGTCAAAGCTGCTAGGCGCTACACTCGGCCGCCACCATCAATGCCATTTCTAGTCGTGTAATCAAGGCGTGGTGTCCAGAAAATATCGCAAAAATATGACTTTTTCGACGCAAAGCAAAGGTGACAACAAGCTATCGTGCCACTGAAGTGATCTTATCATCTATTCTAGGGTGGTTTTTTCTTCCATCTCATCTTTACTCTCTAACAAACATACACCCAGACACTTCCCTACTAAAAATAAAAAAAGAGATAGAGAGAAAAATACGCATCTCCACCCACAAGACACCCAAAGACACCCACAGCCACACACCGTCCAGATGTTCTTATCCAAACCTGATTCTGACTCCACTGTCAACACCAAGACAAGCGCCACTCAGTGCTCCGTCACAACATCAGTCCATTCTTCTCCGTCATTATACCCCACCCGCTGTCGTTCCTGGTACAAGCCTTTGGGCAGTGCCAAAGATGATTCGCCAGCAAGCCTCCAACTGTGGATATCAATCATGCTTCTCTGGCTCACAACATCCTGCCCTCTCTTTCCGAGCTGTCTCTTTTGGTGGCGCCATCTACGACTGCTGCCGCTGACAAGCCATCAGCTTGAAGAAAAAAAAAACCTAGAAGTGTTAAGATTATCGAAGGAGCAGTTTGGTCGATAGACGTGGTCAACGCAAAACGGTCTATCTCGAGGCCATTTTATAAATATTCTGAAAAAGTGAGGTGACATCGCCGGGCCACTTCTGACTCCACCAGCCACGAACCGCAGGCGTTGACGAAATCACTACCACGCTTCTAGCGTTGCCCAGAGTCAGACAGCCAGTTTGAGTGAGGAGGGCTGATTTTTTCGGTATAATTATTAGCCGGCCATTAACTCTTGAACCAGTCTCCAGTAGCAAAGAGACAGTCACACCGCGCGGATGGGTGACCTTGGTGCGCAAATTTTTCTTCTTCTTCTTCTTCTTCTTCTTCTTCTTCTTCTTCTTCTTCTTCTTCACCATTTCACACAAATCTTCTTTCACTGCCGTCGACGAAGACGACGTACAACGATGACCGTAATTCGGATTTACTTCTCAGACTCAGGGCTCTCTTTGCGTTTCAGTCCGCAAGGACTTTAGCCTTCCACCACCAACTGATATAGACGCAACCGAAAATGGAAAATTGTTTTCTGATTTTTTCCCCCAATGGCACTCTTCTTAAGATGGTAATTTTTTCTACAACTGCCTGAATCCAACTGTCAACTATGCGCCACATTTGACAATTTTAACCTCAGGCAGCCATTCGATATTTAATAGCAATAACGTTTTTAATACTATTATACAGCCAAGGCCCAAGAGCCACTCAAAGTAGATGCTTACTGAATAAGCTTCTTTTAAAGGAAGAATCAATGCATATTACGGTGATATATAGATGAGTAGAGCTTGACTTTAGACTTCAAGAACTAAATATCGTAGTGATCGGAGAAGCATCATCTCAGTAGTATGTTGCACAGTTATGGGAAGACACTGTCTGATGGAAATTCTTACGTATAAATTTAATAGGAAAAGAATGAGGATGATTGGATTTTATGTACATGGTGATTTCTAGCTGCGAACGCCTGAGATAATACATTTAAGGAATGTATCTTGTCTGAGCATTTGCTATGAAAAATGTTGTAGATTAGCGAGTGACTAACAATGTTTCGTCTCTTGAAAATAATTCATCACCCACGTGTAAACGCTTTTGAAGTTTATCAAGGATGAAGAGTGAAGACTGAACATCTAACCAAACGTGGAAGCTATACTCCATTTTTTGGTCGGATCTGATTCTTAAACAGACAGTGCATGACAGGAGAAATCTCGTAACAGTTGGAACGAAAGAATTAACCATTATTTTTTTTCAATGCTTTAGTGACGCTAAGATTGTATTCTATTGTATTGTATTCTCTTGTATTCTAAGAGTTCTACATCTGGCTGAAGGAAGCAATCAGGCAGTTATGTGCCATGCTTGATACACGCTTAGGCGATTATGTATCTTTCGATATATTTCGAGGCAGATTTTTTCTAGATCGTAGGTTGGCATTTCTTTTTGCAGCAGAACAGTTGCCATCCAAGGCTATAGAATCTGGGCTGTCCTGCTAGTTATCCATAGCTGGAGGGAGATGAAAAGGATTCATAACTTTACCAAGTGTATTAGCACGTAAGTAATTGTAATGGTTTCGACCGTTATTCTAACTCGGCTCTCCGATTCCTCAATCAAAGCCGCTAAAAGATATTTGATTTTTTTTCGTTTTTTGTTTTGCTCGAAATATTTGGGAAATAATTTTCTTGAGAAGGAAACCATCAAAAGTACGATATGCTTAAACAGTTTTTGAATTTACTGAAATAGGGTACAGTTGAATATTAAATAAACGGACTGGGACGCTTATTCTTTTCTTTTTTTTTTGTATGGAGAGAAATACATTAGCGGCGTCTTTAGTCCATGCTGAAATTTTTGGGTACACTGGTGTACTAGTGAGCCAGCCAAAATGAGCTAACCCATTTTATAGTTCACCAATAAAAGGGTTAACCAATCAGAAGGCTCAAAATATTCAATGCGACGTGTATAAAGGCGGCCATGTTTCTTTTTTTTTTCGTATATTCACTGGCAGCCTTTCATATCGAAGACTAAAGAATTACAGAACAGCTGCTGGTGGTATTGGCGATATAGTCAGATCCAGTAGAGTGTCTGACTCGTGAGTATTAATCTTTAACGTTGTTTCATTGAACAGATTACGTACTGCGCTGTATTCTATATTCATAGACTATGGTGAACATGGTTAACAGTAAAACACCCTTCCGTTCTGGGCATGATGATGAACTACATCCGACAGCAAGACCTCAGGAGGTTTTTGTAATACAAATTAGTTGCACATTTCTGTAAGGAAAAAATATTACTAGTAATACATTTTTGTAACCAAAAAAAATGTAGCATTACATTTACAAAAAAATTACCAGCAATACATTCTTTTGTAAAATAAATTACTAATGCTCCCAAGAAAAATAAATTTCGACATTAAATGACCCAAAAGGTGTTGATATGCCGTAAAACAAACCAAACCAAATCAAACCAAACAACCTTTTTATTAAGTATTTAAGAAATCTCCCCCTACTTTTTATTCAGGCTGTGAGCGTTTTAGTACAAGATATTTCAATACTGAATATTATGAAATATATATATTTTTTAAAATTCTAGCCAATTCTTTTAATCCATTGACAATCGATTATACATAATCAAGATTCATTTTATTTATTTTACTAGCAGTAGAGCCCGGCGTTGCCCGGGAATGTAACAGTAAGAGATAGATCAAGTATCGACCATCATAAAGACTGAAAAATAAAATTAACAAAGATTATTGTTTAAGGTTGACGGACACGCATGTCTTAATTAGTTTTTTGTTTGTTTGTTGTTTTTTTTTTGTTTTTTTACGAATTGGTCAAACCCAAACTCAAACAAAAACATTGTTTTCAATTGTTATGAGTCTACTGATTGAATAGAATTTTATTATAAATAATTGTCTTGTAAATGAAATTTTAAAAGCATTCTGAATGTAAAAACAAAGAAAAAAGTGTGCAAGACAATAAGAAACAGTACCTACCAAAAAAAGTGATTTTTTGTTGAAATCGGTTGAAAAATGTAGGAAATCCGATCCCATATATAAATGAACACACACACACACACACAACATGGGTTTTATAATAAGTATAACTCGATATGAGTTGTCCCCCTTTCATTCTCGTGATGCCTCTTAATCGTGTTTTCAAATTGATTTCGTGCAAAAACAATTTGTTTTTTTTCCAATTTGGGGCGCTATCAGAACCACCGCAAGGTAATTTTATGTAGTCCTGTGAAGTTTTGTTGAAATCGGTTAAAAAATGTAGGAAATCCGATCCACATATATACACACACACACACACACACACACACAACCTGGGTTTTTATAATAAGTATGATTATTGGCAACGCTATGATAGATTCTGTCTCTTTATTTCTGAGATTTGGTATTATTTATACTATTTACATTATTCGGACTATTGTATGAATGTATTGTGTGGATTTCTGGTCATTAAAAACCTAATGTCTCGAGGAACCATTTTTAACAGTGTTCATATTGCAATTTTTGCGGTTATCACACGTTTTTACCAGAGCTCATATTGCAATTTTTGTTGTTATTATCGCTTTTCTCTGGCACTCCTTATTACTGGTTCCCATATTGTATTAATTTCTATGCTTGGTTGGCTCATAAGATTTTTGTGGACTAGCATATGTGCTGATTCCTTACGTTTACGAATTTTTCAATGATGTTCTTTGTCTATGATCTCAACCTGATCCCATGACATTAGTTTTATAAAGCCCAGGCACCATACACGGATATCCTCAAGGACACATGGCACAGTGGATAAAAGCTTTAGTTAGATCCAGTGACGGGACCCAAAGATTGTGAGTTCACGGGACCCAAAGATTGTGAGTTCAATACCTGGTTGAGGCGGTGGAGAACTTGGAGAGGGGAATTAACAGGAGATAACTGATAGCTGACATCCATTAGACATGGCACGTGGAACTAGAATAGTCAACCCCGGTTCAGTTGGCCATTGCAACTTCCTGAACAAGGCCGAAGCGTACAAGGGCCAAAACGTTGTAATAAATATGGCGACAAAGATGAGGACAATAGTCCAAATAATTTAAATACTGTGATAGATTGTAATGGTAATATCAACCGTTTCCCTACAAGGAAACATGCGCCATTCAGTGACCAAGCAGACAGTTCTGCTTTCGGTTGAGATTTATGAAAGCCTTTCTCTTAAAACAATGTTTTCAGGAAAATAGTGTTTTAAAGTCCGGTAATTGTTATCATTCTTTCCGGTATTAATGGACTTTTACCATCCCATGAATTTATTTGAAGTAATGTTGAATTTCAACATCTTGATTATGTCATTATGTTTCTCTTCGATTTACATGTACTTCTCCTTTTAGTTGTTACAGTTGTTCGTAGCCTTCATCAGACGATGTGATTTCTTTTATTTGGCCCAATCCTTTTTGGAGGGACACTGTAGCGCCAGTACGCAATTTTCAAAGAAAAAATAATCAATGTCAAAATTCACAGATTTTATTCGCTCAAAGTCATTTTTAAGAGTTGATCTTAGAAAGTGGCTGTATACAACTGACAGTCTAGATATTTCTGAAAGGGTTTGGCCTCCTGCATGACATCGATATTGTTTTGGAGTAAATAGGATATCCTCGCTGAATATTTGAACTATAAATAACTCCACGTCAGAAGTAAAGGAAAAGAAATAAGCCGTTTGGAGTCTGTCTTTCAGACTAATTAATACGGGCATTCTGCGAATTAGCCGAATCATTACTTCTATTATAAGCGCTACAAAGCGTGTTAGGGATTCGGAACTCTGGCGATTTATAACCGTAGAGACGAGATTCTCAACGCTTACGACTTATAACAATAACGAGTATTCAGAAACTCATGAGAGTTGTAAATGGAGTCACAATGATTTTGGAAACTTATACTGAGTGCACTGGTACAGAAAAATATACCTGTTCGGTAACAAGGATACCAGTGATGACAAGAATTTTAACCACGTTGGTTTAATTTTGTGTGTGTGTGTGTGTGTGTGTGTGTGTGTGTGTGTGTGTGTGTGTGTGGAAGAAAGAATTCTCTTCGTTATTGGGAAAAAACATGTTTGTGAATATGGAGCTAATTTTAGCATTGATAGTTGAAATCCAACAACAGCAAACAACAAACAACAACAACAACAACATCAACAGTTACTAGAACTACAAAAACAGCAACAGGGTTGCTAGATATATAATTCTGAAGAAAACAAAAAAAATCTTCAAAGTCTCTTACACCTGACGCTGTGAAAAACGCTAAATCAGAATTTGTATACAATCTTGATGAGGGACTGACTTTTTCGGCATTTTTTTTTTTTTTTTTTTCATAGATATAAACAATTATGCAGTCAGGAAAAGCAGCGACTGGGAAGATGAGAAAACGATTGATGTTGAGAAAATAGCTTCGATAG